GGTGGTTGTTGTTGTTGTCTTTGTGGTTGTGGTTGTGCTTGTTTTTGTGCTTGTTTTTGTGGCTGTGGTTGTGATTGTGGTTGTGGTGGTGGTTGTTGTTGTTGTTGTTGGTGGTGGTGGTGGTGGTGGGTTGTTGCAGTTGTAGTTGCTGTTGTTGCTGTTGTTGCTGTTGTTGTTGCTGATGTTGGTCACTATTATTATTATTATTGCTATTATTGCTGTTGTTCTTGTACTGTTATTGTTGGTATTCCACTGTTGTATTGGTAACTTCTTAGTACTGGTAACTTCTTATTGTTCTTACTATGATTTTGGGTATTCTGATTCGGATTACTGTTGCTGCCTTGTGATGTTATGACAACTACCGGCTTTTCTACGGTGATCGGCTACAGGCCACATGATGCTGAGCAAGTGCTGCACCAGAAGTACATGGAGACCACCAAGGAGGCCCATGCCAGGATCTGACTGCCCAGCTTGGAATGCAGGCCAGGGATCAGCGTGGCAGTCTTGGCTGCATAAGCCGGAAACTCCTCAGGGTAGCGCTGCGCCAGGTAGTTGTCTGAGTTTGGAACAACTGCCATGACAAAAGTGAAGATTGTGGCAATCGGGATGCTCAGTGCGCAGGTGGTTCCGGTTGCCAGCGCCCAGCCTGTGTATGTGAAGAGATCTCCAAAGTAGTTTGGGTGGATGCACCAGGCTGCAGGCCCCACCATGTGCAGCTTCCCTTTGTTCTCAGGCTTTGCCTTCCACCTGAAGCGATGCACCTCATAGTAGAGAGAATAAGAAGACCCCCCGAGGTAGAGCGCCAGGCCCAGTGTCTGGTGTCCCAAGAAGCAGATGTCCAAGACTTTCGTGCAGTAGCCAAACATGTAGGGCACGATTGTGGGGAATCCCAGCGTGTAAACCACGAGGAGCAGGCAAAGTGTACCTGGGCACAACCAGGTGGGCGTTGTCTGACCCCAGATCTCCACCAGAACCTTGACGACAAAAACACCTCCCATCACAAGCAGCACAGGGGACTCGAGCACGAAGTAGAAATACGAAGACATCTCCAAAAGGAAGAGCACTGTGCAACCAGATTGCCAAGGCAATCGATCTGTGCTGCTACTGCTGCCCGCAGGACGTCTCCATTGGACCCACTTCCGGAAGTCCCGGTCCAGCCCACAGCAGCAAGTCTCCGTGATCTCGACACGTTCGGCTGCTAGAGGCTGCTCCAAAGGCGTCCTTGCCATAGCTTGAACCGTCTACTATGGCATAGTATGTTACACTATACTATATTATACTTTAACTAGACTACACCATACTATAATCTCTATATAGTTATATATACACACACATGCATCTCTTGCTATATCGTATTAGATTAGATCATATGTAGAAACATGTGTGTGTATATATATATATATGTGATGTGTTTTGTGGACGACAGAGCGTGAACTTGCAGCGTCTGGCAGCAACTTGAGTTTGATGTCCAGGTACAGATGTGCGGTTCCTAACCACTCATCGGGGCATCGCCGTGCTTTCTGGACCAGTTCCACAGCGGCAAATGGAAAGGAGGAATGCCATATCATACCTATCGTCTCCATGAGGTTCGTAAATACAGGGTTGGTTAAACAAGACAGAAATCACAATGGAGACTGTAGGTATACCCTTGTAGCAAAGGTGAAGAGAGACCCAACCTAAGGTTATGCCATGCCTGTGCCAATGCCATAGTGTTCCTCCGTGATGGTGGGAGTTTGACCATCAATCTTAGGCTTTCGATGTGCCTCTAAAAGTGCTGCAGGTGTTTGTCTGTGTTTTCGCGGGGTTTTGTCTGCTTTTTTTGTGGGGGTGTGTCTGCTTTTTAGTAGAGTGGTTTGTTCGCTTTTAGTGGGTTTGTGGCTGTTTCTTGCGGGTTTCCCGAAGGTTCATCCCTGAGTCGAAAAGGCCCCAAATCCTAAACCCTGAACCCTAAACCCTAAACCCTATGATGTGAAGCCGTGACTCCCTGGCCCTGCTCCGCCTCCACCGTGCCCCCGCAAAATCTCAAAAGTCAGCTCGTACAAAGGCGTTGGGACTGCTTTGGGGCTTAAGAGTCGCGCAAAGAGCGCAATACCCCCCTAATTAAAGAATATACCTTCAAGTCTAAGGGGCTTCATACTATGGGTTAAGGTATATTCCTTAGTAAAGGGGTATTGTCCTCGCTCAAGCTCAACCTTGAAAGATACCGAATATCCAAATACCCTGATCAAACCCTTCCGACCCTAAACCCTAAACCCCTAAACCCTAAACCCTACCCCTAAACCCTAAACCCTAAACCCTAAGGCCTAAACCCTAAACCCCTAAAGCCTAAAGCCTAAGCCCTGAAGCCTAAACCCTAAACCCCTAAAGCCTAAAGCCTAAACCCCTACACCCTGAAACCCTAAAGCCTACACCCGGCTGCCTCAAACCACTGCTGCGGCATCAGGTAGCTGGCGTGATGCCGGCACCTGGGTATGCCGTGCCCTTTGCATAAAAAGGCAAACCCTACATCCACAAACCCGCGAGCTCCTAGATGGGTAGTTCTCTAAATTAGGATCCCTGTCCTTTTTATCAGGGTGCCGTACTATTTTGGGGACCTAGAAAAATGCACACAGCACAAGTGACGAACTTGGGGTGAGGCTTGCCATTCTCCGAAAAAGCTTAAAGCGTGTCGGGTCATGAGCGCTGTTCCCAACGAACGGCGTGACCCTGTCTGACAAGCTCACAAGCTGCCTACTCAGCTACAAGGGTCTAGTCATGCTTGTCAGTTGTCGGGGATTCTATAGGTTTAGGCATAGGGGGTTTCTCCTTGCCTGGAAGCTAAACCCCTAAACCTTAAACCCCTAAACCTAAACCCTAAACCCTACACCCCTAAACCCTAAATCCCTAAACCCTAAACCCCTAAAAATTCCCCTCTCACAAAAGAAGTGCCCAAACATACTGAACGACCCAAGGCTCCCCTAGCTGAGAGGTCAAAGGAGCCCTAAATGCAGGAAACATGAACCTGGGTTGTAGTTTTGGGGTTCTGGAAAGTATTTATGACTAGGTACCTCTGTAGGAACCACAAGGAAAATTCTAAAGTTTCCCAAATTGCCACCCAGGAACGCAGAGTAAAAGGAAAGGTACATAGAGACCTGCTTTGCGTCGGCTCACTTCCCTTATAAGCTTTGCAAGAGTTCGCCAACCCTAAAACCCTAAGGCCCTACCCTAAACCCTAAACTCTAAGACCCTAAGGTCTAGATCGCCGATGCGCGACAACACCAGGAAGCTCTCCAAGCGTAGGCAAAGTCATCCAGCCGGCAGCTGCTTAGCCAGCTTAGTGCTACGAGCAGAAGTACTTCGTATCGTTGTTGCCATATGGGTAGTTCTCTAAATTAATTAAGGTCCCTTTTCGGATCCTTTTCATAAGGGTGCCGTACTATTATGGGGACCTAAATAGGGACCCCAGTTTAGAGGACTACCTATAGAATGGCGGCCTCAACGTCGACTTCCCAGCCTCTTTGGTCGGATCTGCAGCCAATTGCAAGGCTGACAGCCTTCCGACTCAGACTTCTGTGCCGCTGTTTCTCAACTGGTTCCCTGTTGGGGCCTTATTAAAAATGATCATTGTTAATCCTTATTGGGGTTTGATTATAACAAAAACGTAAAATTGTATCCAACAAGGGCCCTGTCAAGACCTGAACGAGCTCAAGGCCCTAAGCCGCAAAGAAGCCACTGGTCCCCTCATCTGCATGATCTACGGTTTAGGGTTTATTAGCTCTGGACCATGGCCCTAAACCCTAAACCGTAAACCTCCAACATCTTAGGGGCTGAGTACCCTGGCCCAAGAAAGGTTAATTTTTCAAGTATGGTAGGCTTATAAGAACCCCAAAACGTTAAATGGTTACCTACTCAGCGACTAAATTATTATGCTCTGTTTCCCCAGGACTAGACATCAGTGCGATCGTTACTCTGGTGACTCGGATGTGGTGCTGATCTTGCTGCTGCTATATCGACCTCGCAGACTATCATGGTCATGCCTTCCCCGCTAGCCGAGAACGTGAACGCCAACACCAACCCTTTGCTCTAAACCCCACTTGAGGGATGCGCTGCCGCGCCGTGGATACCGTCTCCGTGTTCACCGGGAACGGACAAGGACTGCCTGTTTCAAAGTTTGGGATACAGTCAGTTTCGGTTTTGGGTGTTGCAGGTCATGTCCTGAGGACTGAACCCTCTTCATTTCCCTAACCAAAGCCATGTGCCCCAGATTGAAGGACCTGCAAGACCGTGATTAAATTATCTTTCGGACCTTACGGAGGGGCTGAGTACCCTAGCCCAAAAACGGTTGACCTTTTCCATTATGGTAGGATTATCTAAACTCCAAAAGTGGGTCAAAGGTTACCTACTAAGCTACTAAGCTTATGATACGGATACTACTCCTGGGGGCGCGGGGGAGAGAGAGAAAGAGAGAGAATGAGATTTAATAAGGGCTCGGGCTGACCAGCGCATAAGCATGGGTTAGTCAACCCTACACCCTAATCCCTAAACCGGTCTAGGGTTCGGGGTATGGAAATCTGAGTTGTTGGCCAAGTTGTCGGCCTTGGGATTCGGATCTCAGGTTTGGCTCAGTGGCGCCTTCTGCAAAGCTCCGCCGTGCAAGCGGCAAGAGCAACGGAAGAAACGAGAAGAGCATTGGGCACGCCAGTATGTCTTTAAGTTCTGAATTCCTGGGTCCAAAACCCAAGAATCCCGAAGCCCTAAACCCTAAAAGTGAATATTAAGTCGGGCGTGAGGTCCACAGACAGTCCGGCCTGGAACTGTGGCGTTGGTGTTTGCTTGCTCCTCAGCAAGCCACCTCGGGTCGTTGAAGAAGTTTCGAGTTAGGGTTTATAGGGTTTAGGGTTTAGGGGTTTGGGTTTAGGCTTTAGGGTTGAGGAGGATTTTTCTGGGTCTTTTGGGAGGGGATCTTGGGTTCCGGACTCTGTGAGGATTAACTACGATTTATCCAAGGGTTTCGGATCGGGGTGCGGGATTCAAGATTTGGCGCTCTATGGGGCTCGGGAATAAAACCGTTGAGGATTTCGCCATTCTGCCAAGCCTGTAATAATCTAATCTGATCTCCATGCTATGAAGGAAAAGGGATTCATCGAGCTACCAACGCCGAACGGTGCACACTGTCTGAGGCACAAGCACAGGACATGCAGGTGACACTGCACACGAACGTCCAATGAAGCCGCGCAAGGTCTGAGCTTGATTTCGCTGATCGTCGGGTGATGAGTCAACCGTTTCGTGTGGATCATGACTGAAGATGATCGTCGGTTCTGCGTGAGGTCGGACGCTTCACAGCTGCCGGATGTCACACATGCTTTCTCGCAACTACTGTGCTCTTCAGTCTGTCTTGGGAATGATGGTAACAGCAGGGCTTGTGCCATGCTGCTTACATTGCAACTCGCAAGACTGCGCGTCACATACCCATGGCAGGCTATGTTCGCTTGCCAATGTGGCAATGCCCGCCGCAAACGGCCCTAGAGCCGGAAAGCGTGAAAGCCTTCAGGGTTTAGGGTTTAGAGTTAGGAGTTTAGGGGTTAGGGGTTTAGGGGTTTGGGGTTTAGGGTTTTAGGGTTTAGGGGTTTAGGGTTTCCAACTTTGGGGTGCCCGGCGTGTCAAAGTGCTCCGCCATCCAGGTCATGTTGTTGTGGTACCGCAGGTCAACCTCAGTCTTCGTCTTACTTGTCCAGTATCCTATGGGTTTTTACTCTAATAACAATAATAACGAAACATTCATGATAAAAGATGCCAAAATGGTAGTATACTTGTAACGTGCGCAGGACCTCTCTGCGCTACTTGAGTATGCTGTTTCTTCCAATATGAGCCATTAAGGGCAAAGCTTTATGGGCAGTGTTTGTTTGCCCTGTGGGGATTGGGAATCCTGTCTTTGAAAATGTTGCAAAAATGTTAATTTTTAAATTTTAAAACCTTGGTTTTGTTTTGAATTTGGCCTCCGGGGATCTGGAATCCTTTAAAAATTCTAAAAATTAAAAAAATGGCATCTGGGGATCTGGAATCCTTTCTAATTATTTTTTCAATTTTTCAGGAAAGTTGGCCTCCGGAGATCTGGAATCCTTTTGAATTGCTTTAAAATTTGTAAAATTTTGGCCTCGGGGGATCTGGAATCCTTTATAAACTTTTACAACTTTTAAATTTTCAACAGTTTTGAAATTTAAAACAAACGGCTTTTGGGGGCCTGGAATCA